GTATAACTATTAAGAATATCAAAACAATGCATATTTTAACTTTGTACATAGATAAAATTTTGGGAAAAAATACTGCCGGACAAAAATCTATAATTCATATATATATTGAAAAGTGAAAACTCAAAAATTACAGAAAATAGGCAATCAATTATTGCAAATTTTGATTGTTTTGAAAATTTTATTCAAATTTGAAGAAATTTAATCTCAGTTAATTCTGATAAGGGACACTACATTTTATTATAAGAACGAAAGATAAAAACAACCTATGTAAAAGATTTATCGCACGTTCATACTGTCCTGTTAACCACAATGCTTGAAAATAAATTAACACACTTCCATCATTGCCAACAAAGTAACTCTCACCTAAAAATGCCGGATTAGAATAATTTGATCACTTAATATATTATACCCTTTACTAAGAAAATGTACCGTACACAGTCAAACATGGTTTTCAAAATAGAAGCTTACAATATAAGCTACCAATCTTTCTAGCTCAATTTTCCACAGTTAAAATTTTTAATTCACTAATAGGGTTTTGACAATTTTTAAGCAAAACCTTAGTTGGATAATGATATGTGCTCCATGTTTGATTAACCTCACCATTCATTCGCATTCTTTTGCTCTAAGACTCCTGTGGTATTCTAATAATATACGCATTCCAATTAAGCTTATTATTTATTTGCAACAATCAGTTTGCAACTGCATGTAAAAAAAATGCTCTATGTATCTACAATTACAAATTACCATAGTCAACAGATATAAGTCGCTGAAGCTCTCTGAAAACTGCAGGTGAAAGCGCAGGGTCTATACCACACGGATATAATTTTAACCAAAGCCAATTTTCTAAATTATTGCAAACTTCAGGAACGTCACCACCAAGTAGAGCACAATATACTGCTTTTTTGTAGATATCCACAAACGAACGGGATTCACAACGCCATTCCGCCTTCACCTTCAATCGAATATCAGCAGAAAGCCTAAATTAAACAATATCATTCCAAATAATCGTGTCACACTCATAACACAAATCCAGCATCGCAAAGTAGTAATAGGACATTTATGCTGAGTAACGAAATGAAATATTATGACAATGCATTTTCTTGTTCAGAAAAGTATCTGAGATATGTAAAATTGAACAACCCGCTAAGATACAGGAAGACAGGAATAGTTCAACAGGAAACTTACTTTTCATTTTTTTCAAGTTCAAGCAGTGCGACTGTTGCAGCTGCACAAGACGGTAAATTTTTCAAATGTGAATCAGCTATCTTTGCAGCAGACTGCAATTCGCCAGCTCTTAAACAATGGTAAATAACCTCCCAAAGAGCATGTCCATTTGATCCATACACACCATCCTAAAAAATGAATAATTTGTTAAACGAAACAAATCTTTGCAAGCTTTCAATAAAAGCAAACTTCATACTTTGAAATTTTTTATATCAATATCATTGGACGAGGAAACAAATAACGACATTAGATTACCTGAATGTGTCGCTGAACTGGCTTATAATGTTTCACATTTAGAAAAGCATCGATAAGTGACAGCATCGTCGGATTACCACCTCTGCGAGCAATTGTTAAATTATTTTCCACAACTGTCTCCATGTATGAAATGAAACTGTAAAAAGTTTAATGTTATATAAATAAATAACTAACCTCTGATTTACGGAACATAAGTTTCTACAATTTTATAAATGTATATAAATATCGCTTCTGAATTTATAAAAACTGATTGGAAATGCTTTTTTCTGATTTCAGTAATCATGACCCATAAGATTATAATATGACTCTAAGAATTTAAAGTTGGCTTACTTTTTGTGTAGAAATTCCAAAGTTGTATCAATGACGTGCTTCATCCAAGAGATCGAAGAGCGGAAATTTTTGGCAGTACCGGTAACAACAAATGGGTGATTCAGTGGGGCAAGGGCCTGTCCCCATAATGCGACTATTCCATCGTCACGTGATTTCGATGCAGCTTCTTTAAAAGCCACAGCTAACTCGTCCACTTTTTTCTGTGCTATATAATCAGAAACCTAAAAATCAAATAATATCAGAAAAAATATAATGGAATCTGGATTATGTTTTAAAAAATCTTTTCAATAAACGAAAAAAAAAAACTATTTTGCTCAATCAAATCATTTCTTTTTTCTCCATTACAATAACTTGTATTAAATTTGAAAACTTACACCCTTAGCGAATGTCAATTCTATACTATCACCAGGTTTTATGAAAATCGGAGAATCCGAATACGTTGTCTGAAAAGTCATTCTTTTTCCAAATGTGAATAAGTTCCAGAAATCTTGATATAAATGTCAGTGTCAAGTATAATATATAAAAACGATTTTCCAATAATAAATTATAATTAAAATACTTTCACTAAGGTAGTGTTTTTCACTAAGTATCTGATATAAGTTAATTAACACAGTGAATAATTTGCCGAGCAAAAAACAATCACAATATTCATGTAATAAAATGATTGGAATTACAAAAGCAAATAAAAAATGGAAATTGCAGAAGTATAAACAGCATCCGCTAATAAACATTAAGAAATAATCACAATACATAACTGAACTAAACACTGCCTTAGATTTCCTAGCTTCTCAGTAATTATTTATTTTTAACATAACTAAGATACTTAATCAATAACTAGAAAGCACTAACTTTGGAAAATGAAACAGTAGGAGCAACATTTTTCGCAATAGATTTAGCCGCCGTATATGCCTGATCCACTACGCGTTGATTCATGAAGGCCCTTTCAGCTTCCAAACGAGTACGAATCGAAGTTTCAGCAATAATTTCATCCAGCATATGCTGGCAGTCCGCTGACGGCAATACGACTTCTTCCACTTCGTTTTCTACTGTTCCTTCTTGCATTTGTGGTATTGAGCTGAGTGAGAAGCCCTTTCCACCCAATAATAAACCCATCTTAAAAACCAACAGTTAATTAAATAAAAATGGAACAAAAGTCTACGAAATTAGGCATAATAAACGATGATCAAACATACTTCCACATCGGATAATCGTTCTTCTGCAGGTGCTTTTCTTTTCCATAAATCTTCACTGCGTCGGAAAATATCATTTAATGCAAGATCAACACGGGTTTTGCGCTGAAGTGGAATGACAATTGACCGATATTTAAACATTTATATTTTCTAGATACATTTTTGTCTTTTCAATTCCACAAATAGGTTTAATTGGACAAGAATCCTACTCATCATTTCTCTAAAGGTTAGCAAAAACTTTCTGGCAGTGTACTTGAAAAAACGGCTAATTTAATACTACTACTACTGACACTTTCGATTCAATTAAATAAACATTTTATTTGGAAATATTACTAATTTGAATATAAAATTAGTTGTTTATTTTTTTTTTTTGCATGTTCGACAAAAGGATTTGGGAAAAATAAAATGCTCAATTACCGAAGATCCTGATGTTTTCGAAATAACTTTGGATGATACCGATAACCGGTCCGACTTGTTCAACAGATCTTCAAATGCTCCCGGCATACTGAAATTCAATCTCAAAAATTAGGAAAAAGATTCCCAGTCATACTCTCTTTTCACATCATCGATATCCACAAATTTCAAAACTAACTGAACATCATCCTAAATCTAAATAAGAACTTTAAAATGTAAGTCAAGGATAATACGTTGGAGAGACAGTTTCAGGCAGTGGTGTTTAGCTGCTAATATAACATATTATTTCAATGGTTCTCACTGTTATCTTAACATACAATATCTTTATAATATAAAGATATATTTCATAAATTCATCTGCACTCATCTTGAAAAATGTTTTCATATAATATCAGACAATTAGAGAAGATTGAAAACAGAAATAAACTGAAAAATATGTGCTATTATACATTCTATCTAACAACCACTTAGAAAGAGCTAAAATTACAGTTTTATGCCTAAGTATAAACACAACTACTTTTTATTTCACTTCTGGAATATCACTAATCATGCCCAGACAACTAATGTATATGTGTCCTAATTGGTTCTTAGGTAAATGCATTACAGATACATTTTTTTTCTTGAAAAAAATTTCCTATAAAAATAAGAAAATATCTAGGACAGACCTGTAAAGGTTGAAAATTTCAACAATATTTCAAATTCTAACCATTTAAAAAACTTAATACATTCTGAACTTCTAGAAGACGTTGCACCGCTTTTTTGTTCCCAATTAAATATGATAAAGAGAACTTTTCATTTTGTAAGTCATTTATTTAAAAAAGAGAAAAAAAAACCGAACATTACTTCAACAAGAGAACTATTGCACAGACTTTCAATTTTTGAATCTCAATCTATTACACATTCTCTTCTAATCCTTATCAATCTCTGTCGTCTCCTCAGCTATCTTATCTTTTATACTCTTTTCACCTCAGTAACACCATTCATTGTCATGCACCAGAATGAAATTTGAATTTCCCATATTCCTAAATACAATGTTTGCTTCTGAGATATGTTTATCGTAATTATGGGTAAATTGAGCTAATCTTTACTACAACTATTTCTGAACTTTATCCGCCAGACTCACTTACGTCTACGTGTAATTATGTTTCAAGCATAAATGTTAACACTATAATATTTACTTAAATTCTATTAAGCTATCTATTATTTTAATAAATTATCATTATTGTCGGTATCGATGCATCATAAAGTGCAAATAGCGGCAAAATATTTCTGAATTTTTTATACCAGACTTACTTTACGTCTACGTGTAATTATGTTTCAAGCATTGAATATTAGCAATATAATATTTACTTAAATTCTATTAAGTCGGTATCAATACATCATGAAGTTGTACCATAAGGTTATAAGATGATAGTATCTTCCCTTTTAAAGGATATATAGAAATAAAATAACAATTTGCCATTTTTAGTGTTAACTCATTTTTCTCGCCCATTCATAATTATGCAAATATGCTGTAAATATTTTGGTGGGTTTTTTTTCTCCTTTAAATTATTTGCCTAAGTAACAGAGAAGAAAAAAAGGATGCATGATTACGGTAACTTGTTGATGTGATACTGATCATCATCTTGTGGTAATAGTAATAGCTAAAGGGGGTTTTTGTTATCGTTGTTGTGGTTTTGTGGTTTGCACCGTTCTGTACCATCTTCATGTTGTTGATATCTAAATTGATTCATTCATTCATGTGAGCGAAAACTTTTAAGCATCATACAAAAGTATGCATTATAAATTCAACGTTGATTCGATTAGTCCTCCTTTTTTCATTTTACTATAGGATAGCGTTGATATAATCTGATTCAATCAATCGATCAATTCATTGAACGATAACAACATTCTTTAAAGTTTTTTTTTTTTGCAAATATTGAAGAAAAAATGACAAGAAATGCGTAATTGCTTAATTGGCGAAAAATTTTATTACTACTAAATTAACCAATACTGGATCTAATAGTACTGTAATTTAGATGGCTAAATACTGATTTTTTTGTTTTGTGTGTGTGTGTGTGTGTGTGTGTGTGTGTGTNTGTGTGTGTGTGTGTGTGTGTGTGTGTGTGTGTGTGATTTGGAAGGGATTGACCCACTGATTTATCTTAGTTATAATTGAAACAGAAAGGTAGAAAAGTAATTGATGTATTCAAGTTTTCCATATCCATTTGAAATAAATTTTCCAATAATATCAACAAATTTTCATAGATGGATAATTTTTCCTATCATTTACGAGAAATGTTAACTGTTGCTTTTGCTTAAAATGTAAATATGTTCCAATAAGAGTAGTTGAAAAAAAAAAAATGAAATGAAATGATTTAAAAAATGGCATCTCAATTCATTTCTTTTCTACTGTTGAATTATGAATTATATCAGTTTTAATAAAGCGAATTAATAAATTTAATGGTCATACGAAAATGTCCAATATTTGGAATTTTTTTTTATAAACAATTTTCAGTAATTCGCTTTGTAATTATGATGTATTCATATGACATGAAAATTTTTGTTTCTATTACAA